CTTCTCCTGGGCGAAGCGCTGGACCTCCTGGGCGATCCTGCGCACAGCTGAGCCCCCTTGCTCCTCCTGGGCCAGCACGGACATCATGGCCTGGGCGAACAGGTACGTGTGCTCCCCGTGGCACACCATCCTCTGGACAGGCAGGGACGGGCGGGCGGTCACTGGCGCGGCACCGCGGTGCAGGCGACAGTCATGCCAGGGGTTCTCGGGCCCGCGAGTCACTTCTCCCAGGGTGCCTCTGACCCAGGGGTCTCTGACGGGAGACCCCACTTGGCCGACTACGCAGTCGAGCCCGGACCAGCAGCTGAGAAACACGCTGGGCGCACATGCCCAACGTCCCGGGGAGAAAGGGCTGGGGTGAGGCCGTCTCTCACGTCTCTTCCCAGTGAGCACACATGCCGGCTGGCAAACTTTTAAAAAAAAAGAAGCGTAAAGACCCCAAAGCTGTCCTCTTGCCTGAGAGTCGGCACGAAAGCACTTACGGCAAACTCGGGGAGGTTCTTCTCCAGGTTCTCTTCGCCTCCGTCCAAGATGGTGGCCAGGGAGGTGCGGAGCACGCGCGAGAACACCTCCAGCTGCTGGCAGGCCGTGGACACGCTGGTGATCTCGCCCTGGTACCCAGCATCGGAGATGAGCTGCAGCCGGCAAGGCCCAGTCAGCACGCGGTGGCCACGCTGCCAAGGTGGGCGGCCGCCGTCCCTGGGGACTGCATGGACCCATTGCAGTGCCGCCTGGGTGAGTGACCCGGGAGGCGTGCCTTCCCTGCTCCGTCATGAGAGGGATGGGACCAACCCCGCTCAGAGAGGCCTCTCAGGACATGGTGGACTCTGCGACCGCGTCCCATTTAAATCTGGAAACAGCACACACAAAACTCCGCGCTCTCCCCGCAGTGAGAGGCTCGCCATGGTAAAACGCCTTACCGAAAGGCGCAGGTAAGAGCTTTCTGGGGAAACAGGCCACGCTCGGCCAGCAACCCTGGCCCGTGGCACGGCCAGCTTTTCTCCAGCTCCAGAACTCTTCCTACCTTAACAGTGAAGTTGAGCATCAAACAGTCGGGATGGGCCTCAGCCAGTTTGTAGAAGAGATCTCTCCACGTGGTGTGAGCGATCATCTGTTCAAGCCAAGCCGGGGTCTGCCAACGAACCAACAGCAGGCTGAGGCCCGGCTCTGCGGGCACGGAGGCGTGTCAATCAGCATCTCAGACCATAATGGCTGGAGGGCCCCACGAGGGTAGAGCTTGGAGGAAGCAACTCGGCTCGCGGTGGCTACCCAGTGGGCGAAGCGGCACAAGGGGAGCCAAGCCGCCTGCCCACTCTTGGCTTTCAGGCGGGCCCCCAAGGTGCCCCCTTGGGCACAGACGGCACACCCAGGAAACCCGTGCCCAGGGAGTGCCCCTGGCACAGCTAGCCCAGGCTGCACCTGCTGTGTGCCCTGGCAGGAGAGAGCTCCGTGACTGAGATACCACAGGAGGCCTTGCCTGGCACCACGTGTGGGGGCCACGACCGCATGCCCCGTGGCTCTCCTGCTGTGACCGACTGGCAGGCCCGAGGCCTGCGCTTCATGTCCTCCAACCCACCCATGGGAGCGAGGCCAGGTCCTAGGCGGCTCCCTGCCACACTGAACACAGGAGGCTCCCAGGAGACGGCTCCTTCAGGGGCCGACCTGGGTGGGAGGACGCCCCGCCGATGTTGCAGAATGTCTGAAACTACCGAGGCCCAAGCCTCTTCCTGCTAACCTCCTGCTTTGGGGTCAGAGCGGATCCCTGCCACCCTGGCCTCCCTGTCTTTCCTCACAGCTGCCTCCTCCGTAACCTCCTGCAGGTCTCGCCCTTCTCGGCATCTGCTTCCCGGGAGCCTTGAAGAGCACAGGGCTCCACGCCGGCCGTGCCCAGACCGGCAGGAACCTGGTGCTCCCAGCGCCAGCACGACCACAGGCCTGTGCAGGCAGCCCCCCACCCCAGCGAGGGGTAAAGGGCGGTCGGGGGCCGCTTCACGGCACGTCCCGACTGTGAGTGAGCAGCTCCATTGTGCACGCAGAATCAGCGAGGGCCCCAGGAACTGGATGAGGCAAGGGGACACTCCTCACCTCGCCTTCTTCAGTAAAAATAGAATCAGCTTTGCGGGGGTCGAAGTGTTTGATCAGCAAACTCTTCAAGTGATTTTCCACGGTTTCCTGAACCTGAACTGGCTCCACGCCTGAAAGGAAGCGGAAGCCACTGGATGGACGGCGGCCCTCGCCTCCCTCTCCTGCTCTGAATAGAGTGGCCCAGTCGCTATGTGAGCCACCGTCCCAGAGCTGTGTCTGGCTGCCCACGGGAATCAGAAAGAGCTGCTAATTACACTCCATGTAGGCCCAGAGATGGGCACCGAGCAGGATGCCTACAGGCGGTCCAGCCTTCTCTACATGAAAAGGACAGCCATGGGCCAGCAGGCGGCATGGTGGTTAAGGACGCTGGGCTCCCACATGGCTGATTGCGATTCGAGTCCCGGACCTGGCGGCTTGCTTTTTCACTTCTCCCCCAATCTGTCCCTCTCTGGTCACATGAAAATAAGTAAATAAAGTTAAATAAATAAAATAATTCTTTAAAATAAAAGAGAAAGAAAAGGACAGCCATGTCTTCAAAAGCTCGTTCAGAAGAGGGACAATGGCCCAGACAGACGGGCGCTCTGCCTGGAGGAGAGTCGATGCTGGCCAAGGGAGATGCCCGCATCCACCCACGACGGCGACCAGGCGACCGGCTTCCCAGCTCCCAGCAGCACTCACGTGAGGCCCTCTGCACGCAGGCCAGGGGGCTTACAGTAAGGCCCCATGTGATCACCTTAGCTGGAGGCCGTAATCACAGCCCACCCTAAATCACCCATCACTTCCTGCCTGCCAAGAGAGACCTCTGGAAAACGATGCACCAAACAAACACAGTACAATCCAATCCACAGCACGTGGGCAAACAGCTCGGTGAGGATCACGCTGCGGGCTATCTGCAAACCTCATTACTGAATCAAAGACAAGAGCCAGGCAGATAAAAAGGAGGCGAGGCCAGCAGGTGGCGTGGTGGTGAAGGACACTGGACTCCCAGATGGTCGACTGCAGTTCAAGTCTCGGACCTGGCGGCTTGCTTTCTCACCTTGTCTCTCTCTGTCTCTTTCTCTCTGTCTTTCTCTGGTCAAATTAAAACCAATAATAATAATGATAAGTAAAGCTAAATAAAATAATTCTTTTTTAAAAAAAGCAGTATGAAGTTAAGTTCTGACTTATATAAGTGTTAAAAACTAGGAAAACAAAAGCATTTCCAATTTCTCAGCTGATAGTGACCTAGATGTAAGGGGTGGCTAACCAGGACGGGGCACCCCAAAGCACCTGTCTGAATGAGCCACTCAGCCAGCAAGTTCACAGTCTGGGCCACGGCCGTGTAGTTCTCGGACAGGAGCTGGATGACATTCTCCGGAGACCCTCCTGCCTGAAAGTACCTAGGAGAGGGACAAGGAGCTGCCGCACCGGGCGCGGGGTTGGGCCCGCCGCACGGCCCGGTACTCCGACTCTCCACCGCCTGGCACGGGGCCTCGCTGAGCTGTGCCCCAGACCCCTCGTCACGTACCTCTTCAGAGTGTTGAAGATGGAGGGCTCCATGATGTAATCCCGGGTGGAGAACTTGTGCAGGCATTCTTGCTGCACTTCGGCGTCGTCCTCTCCTTCCCCGTAGTCTTCCTCCTGCTGTGGTAGGACACTGCTCATTACTGCGAACGTGCCGTCCCCTCACCTCCGGCCCACAGAACGCCGGCCGTCGGGACTCCTCCGCAAGCGGTGCTCCAGCGGCCTGCCACCACGCCCCCGTGAGCAGGTAGGAAGAGGGGCGCGGGTCACGGCACTGTGGTCACGCAGCTCCTGCCTTCCCAGCGGTAAGGGTGCCGACCTTGTCTGGCTGCTCAGAGTCTGTGATTTTGATAACTTTTGGAGGAATGAAGCATAACAACTGTATTTACCAGAAGTGCAACAACTGCCGTGGTTTTTACTGTTACTGTTTTAATGCTTTCCAGCAGAGACCAAGAAATGATTGAAAGACAGGAGCCACCATCTCCGTGGAAGCGCGGGTCACCACTTGCCTTGAATCAGCAGGCCCGGCTGGATTCTAGCCCAGCTCTGTGCAGAAGCAACCGCTGGCAAGTCACGGGATCTAACACAGGTTTCTCGCCCAGCAGGTGACAGCGTGACAACGGGCTGAGTGACCCTGCGGTCTGTCCGGCCTGCAGTGTCATCCTTCTCAACTCCTACTCTGCAGGGAGCCCCGTGCTCACGGGCACCAGGAAGCCTTCTAGAATGTCGACAAGCAAGGCTTTCCCACCAGCAGGGTTCGCACTTGCAGGAGACACCGGCTTCCATGCCACGGGCTGTCTCAAAGGGGTAAAATTTGGGCCCAGGACTGGCAGGGTATGGCCAAGGCCAAACCCAGCCCGCCTCCTGTCTTTGGGAATAAGTTTCGTGGGGACACAGCCACACTGTGTCCTTCATGTCTGACTGCTTTACCCCACAGGGCCAGGGTCGAGTCGTGGTGAGACTGTGCCCTTCCACATCTGCCCACCCAGGCCGGCTAACGTTCTGAGAGCAGGGGCCCAACCAAGCCCATGGGGAGCCTTCCTGGACCGTTTGTACAGAGCCTTGAGCAGGGCGTGAGGAAGGCTGCCCTTACTCTGAGACCCACCCTCCTGTGCCTGCACTGTGCGGCTGCACCCCTGGCCTCACCCTGCCCCCCACATCTGCCCTGAGCACGTGCTCACCTCTTCCTAAACCCGGGTCGTAGCCGCACCTCTGCAGCTCTAGACTCGAGGAGTCAACACTATTCTCATTTCCACGGGGACATCGCACAGTACTCCAGACTCCTTAGGTCCCAAACTACCTTCACCTCATCCCTGAAAACAGACCTTCATGAAACCCACACCATAGTAAGGGACTTATCACCCACCTGCTGCCAAAGCCTGGGAGTCGCCCTCCATTCTCTGCTCCAGCCCACCCCACAGCTGTCACAAGACCCACTAATTCTACCTCCCAGACACACCCAGCATGACCCTTCTCCCGTCACCCCCTTCCTCGGTGTTCCGCACGCACACAGTAGCAGAAGTCCCTAATGCCTGTCTCACTCCTACATCTCAATCCTTTCACGTCGACCCAGTGGTCTCTGGAAGCCACAGATGCGGCCTCTCTCTCCTGCTCAGTCTCTGCCTCCCTTGGGACAGCACCCAAGCTCCGTCACGGCCTTGCCCTTCTCACGCACCTGTCTGGCCTCACCTCTCGCCATCTGCATCCAGTACCAGCCTACCTCATGCACACTGTGGTAGCTCTCGGCCCTCGTCACCTGGACTGAACATCACGGAGCCTCCTCATACATCCTCGGGCCCCCAAATCCATGGCATCAATACGGCATGAAGCCAACAGAATCCAGCTCATGCCACCCTTGACACCCTTTCCTAATTTTCTCTCCCTCCTCCAAGCAGAGTCACAGAATGAATATGAAACGAACACCTGGTTCACACTTCTCATCAACAAGAGCTTGCTCGGGTCAATAGGCCAAATTAGGGTTGTGATTAACGTTCTCCAAGTGGGGCTGGCAGGTGGCGTAGTGGTTAAGCACTGGACTCTCACACGGCCGACCGTGGTTCAAGGCCCGGACCCGGCGGCTTGCTTTCCCATGCTCTCTCTCTCGTCAAATTCAAATAAAATAAAGATAAAACAAAAAATAATTTTTTAAAAAAACAATAAAGTTCTCCAAACATGAGACTTTCTAACCTCCGTCCATCAGTGGGGCATGGGCTGGACTCTGCCGTTACTAACTGTGTAAACCAGGAGGAGTGTTCACGTGCTCAGTCTATAAAACAAAACACTGGACGAGACTGCCCTTGGACGTGGGTCATCAGAAAAGTCACGGCACATTTTTCTGCTTTTCTATGCAAAAACGCATGACTTCCAACAGCCCAATAACACATTATGACTCAAAGGTGAGCTATAAGGACGTGAGCATTTTGAACAAGACATCCTGGACACTGATCCACTACGGAGACCATTCAGTCCCTAAATTTCTCTCACCTGGACTCTGGGGGTCCAGCTGGGTGAACTGACTGTGTAAGTAAAGGACCGGGTTTGCACGCGCGTGCGCACGCACACACACACACACACCGCCTTCGCTAGTAATGTGACCTCGGGGCGCTCGCTGTCTCCCTGCCTCACTGTCTTCATTTACAAGAGAGCAGGGTACTGACATCAGATTTGAGATGCTGCAAAGCACCAGCCAGACTCTCCACGAGCTAGACCTGGCTTCATCCAGCCCCACGCCATGGCGTGAGCCGGCACACTGTCAGCCCGGCCGACTCCTGCACCCTCAGGCCCCTCAGAACCTGCTCCCTGCCAACCTCCCACCACTGCTCACCCCAGGCCACCAACTCTGAAAAGGTCCTCCAGTGCCAGGCGCCCACCACCTGTCTGCAAACCTTCACTCCTCCGCTCCGATGGCGCCCGTGTTGCCCACTGCCCCTCAGTGCAGTAAGCTCAACGTCACCCTTGGCCAGTCCGGTACTCCCCAAACACACCCATCCTTTTTATGTAATTGACACAGGGCATGTGCCCTCACCAGAGGCAGGAATAGAGGGAGAGGAAGGAAGCACCCGCCATGGGGCCTGGCCATCCGGCAATCCCTTCTCCATCTGGTCAGCATCTGGGGTACACACACGCACTTGGCAAGTTTTATCAAGGCACTGGGGCTGGGATCTGAACTGTGGTCGGCCATGTGGGATCCAGTTCCCTTAGCCAGCAGGCTATGGCCAGCCCCTAATGCTGCTCGCTCTTGGGAGGGAAACTCTCAGGCTCCCTCCCGATCCACTGTTCGGTCCTGGTGCCCGGCCCCAGCCGCCATTTCAACCACGCATCAGGTGGTGAGACGAGCCTAAGGCTGAGACCCCAGGGCCAGGCTAGAGCTCCGTGCTCGGCCTGTCCACCTGCCTTCCGGGGCAACAGGAGAGCCCCTTCCCGCCTCCCACCGAGCACTAGGAGGTCAATGCTGAGATCCCCTCTGTCACTTTGCTCAAGGATGCTAGAAACCTGCCCATGGAGCTGGAAACAGTACGGGGACAACGGTACACAGGTGAGAATGCCCCAGGTTCTATGTCCCCACGATGCTGGTCTGGAGTTTTGCATTTTATTTCTGCTGGAAACTGGGGGCCCGGGCCGACGCTCGCCGCAGGCAGGTGGGAAGCCGCAGTGCCCAGG